GAGTTTAATTACCCAGACGTACACCATGCATGGCCTCACGGTTACTCTTTCAGCAATTAATGGTTCTGTAACGATCATCAAATCTGATAACAATTTAAGAACGCAGAATATATTGGATAAAGGAATCATTGCCTCAATTTCTCAGTATCGGGTTCATATAACAACAAAATAGTCACTCAAATAAGAGTAACATTACAACTGAGAAACTAGCAACAAACAAAAGTGACATCACAGTGCAGAAAAGGAAATTGCTCAGGGAGGATGAAGAAGGGCAGACGGAAGGAAAGGGGCCACAAAATTCTTCTCGGCCTCCCAACACTGCTTTAGCCCTACATATACCCAATTCCTTTCCATTAAACCCATTCCTTTTGAGCCCAAATGTAGCTACTGGCCCATCAATTGATAACTCATAACCCGGTCCATGAACTTCTTAAGCCTGTTCGTTTCAGATTCACTCGAAGCCATGGCCACTCATATGGCATCATGCTAAAATACATCGGGATAGAGATTTAATTATCGGGCAGAATATTTGGCAATGCCTCTTTTCCTAGTTGACTAGTTAATAATTCTTTCAGATTCACTCGAAGCCATGGCCACTCATATGGCATAATGCTAAAATACATCGGGATAGAGATTTAATTATTGGGCAGAATATTTGGCAATGCCTCTTTTCCTAGTTGACTAGTTAATAATTCTTTCAGATTCGCTCGAAGCCATGGCCATTCATATGGCATAATGCTAAAATACATCGGGATAGAGATTTAATTATTGGGCAGAATATTTGGCAATGCCTCTTTTCCTAGTTGACTAGTTAATAATTCTTTCTTTAACAACAAATGCAAAGTTCATTAACAGAGGGGCAGAGAGTGACCCTTTTGACGCAGGCTATAAATTACCACACTGAACTATAGTCACGTACTGGATATCCGAAACATTTGAATTTCTTTGACTGATATGCTGCAAATGTTTCGGATAGACAATCAAGGTGGGTCCGGACAATCAAGGTGCAATGTTGCTATTTTCATTATTCTTCTATATCATACTGTGATAATTTCTGTGAATTCCTATATATGATAGATCTTCACAATCGCAACCCGTGTATACTGTTAATTTTTTTCTTCCAGACACAAAGGATATATATATGACTAAACCATCTTAATCACAAGTCTCCCAATAACTCCGTCCAATTTGTTCGCAATGATCTCTCTGATTATTATTTTATATACAAAACAATCACGAGCAAGGTAAGAATTAAGATAACTATTCTTCCATCATGTACGTGAGAGGAACGAGAACAAATTCTTGCTCTTTCATTGAGTCAGAGTGAATGTATTAAATATTTATTTTTTGGCATCAATGATGCCTGACGATACTTGCATTATTTCCAACGGCATTTGTGCTTTCTGTCTTCCCATAGCTTTTATTGCTATTTGCCAGCATTTAAAGATCAGTCACTTGAAGTGAGGATTGGGACCTCGCGGGACCCAGCACGACGCGTCTTTTTTATGTTTTGTCTAAACATGACTGCTCGCGATTCTTTCATCTTCGGATTTCAATGAATTAAGGAAATGGTTGTTAAATTTTTGAGTTAGACTCTGAGTTTATCATTTTTAATTTATAAAATTATGTCAACTTGCTCATAAACTATGCCGCGAAGCAAACTTGGTTAAAATTGTGAGTTGATTTTTCGAGTCTATAATTTTTATATTTTTAACTTACAAAATCAAGTCAACTTATTTATATACATGAACTAAATATAAATTTAATTAAACTTGTGTGTAACTCTGTTAAACTTGCTAAACTTGCTGATTGTTTATTGACTTGAGTGGGTTAAGTAGATATGGGGTAAAACTCAATTAAGGGAAGCGGTAGGACCCAATTCAAAAAAATAAAAATAAATAAAACTAATATTAATAAAAAAAGAAATACCAAAAAGCAGTTGTCCAATTTTAAAATTTCTATGTTGAGTATGATAATCTATCAATATAGATTGATTTAATTTTAATAATTTAGATTTAATAAAATTTTTAAAATTATAATCTATTTTGAATTTTAAATATATCTAAATCAAATTATGGTCATATCTTACATTTTAATTATTTAATTATGTACTTTTAATGGGTATTTATTAATAGAAACAAACTCTTATGAGTTTATGATTCGAATTTACATTTATGTTATGAGTTTACTTAAATTTGTGAGTTTGACAATTTTGATCAAGGATGTTATTGTTAAATTATATAATATTAATAAGCAATAAAGGTATCTTTTTAGCTTAACCATTCAAATTCAATTTTTGGAATAATGACAATGAGTTAAATTGAGCATCTAAATTCAAAAATATAATATTTTCACTTTCACTCACGATCACTTTTGTTGTAATGTTCCCTTTTAACTTTTAAAAATTATATAATTTGGTTCCACCGTTAACAAAAGTTTACTATAATCACTTGTTGACAAAAAAATGACAAAAAGGGACCTCGAAATTACACAAATGGATACAATAAATTTTTCTTGATCTATTTTTGTAATTTTGTAAGTCATTGTCTATAATTTTTAGGTTCTTCAATGTAACTTTCTATAATTTTTGTAACCCTTTTCTATTATTTTCATGTTAATTAACATTCAAAGTTAACTTTGTTAACAATAAGGATCATATTGTGCCATTTTTAAAATTTAAAAATAAATATTATATTAAAATTGAGTTTAAGATCTCATATGCTTATAGACCCATACTTTAGGGGCCAATTTTATGTTTAAGCCTATTTTTAATCCTAATATAACACCTCACATTCACTTTAAAAAAGAAAGTTGTGAATTCTAACCTCAAATGATGGAGGGTTGAGTGCGTTCATAAGCCCGAAAAAGTAAAAACATGTGAGGAAGGGGAAGATGTATGTAAAAAGTAAAAACATTCTCAAAAAAGTTTATAGTATACTTATATTTTCCTATCTCATGTGTAGATCAAAACACACCATTTACGGCATTGTACCCCTTACTCCTCCTATCCAATATAAAACACACGGTCTTCGGCATTGTACCCCTTACTCTTGCTATCCAATATACTTCATTTGATCTCATTTATAAAGTACATTCTAAAAGATTTATTTAATCTTATTTATAAGTTAAGATGCAATTTTTAGGAAATATTAAAAAAGAATATGACATCATTTTTTGAATTTCTTATAGAGCAAATGACAGTTTGGTCACAAAACAATGAATTAATACTAGTTCAGTCCTTCATAAATTTTTTTACAAAATAAATTAGAAATATTAATTCAAACAGTTACAAATAAAAATTTATGTTACAATCTAAAAGTTAAATTTGATATTTAAATATTTATATGTAATTGAAACTCTCAAATTTATAATAATTTGGATTGATATTTTTAACTTACTTTTTTTTAAAAATTGTCGAGAACATAACTAGTATTAATTCACTGTTTTGAAACTTAACTATCATTCTCTGTTTTTTTTTTTTTTTACATAGGGGCATTTTTTAAATTTTATATACTTTTATTTTATTTATTTTTTTACATTGATATTTGGGAGATTGGTGGGAGTCACTTCTCAAAGGCACCGAAGGGAATATTGATAAACCTGACACACTTACATCAAATTCATTAAAATATTGTCAAATAATATATTTGCGTCAGAATCAGTTTTTAATAATTTTTTGAGAATTAATTTTCATTGATCAATTTCATTACTGAAATTATTTCTTAAAGAAAGGACAATCGTAGAAATGTTTGGGATCCCCAGAACGCCAACAACATGTGCTGGAATTTTCATGAATCAGCTTTGAATCACATATCTCGTAACTTGGAGCTACCATCATAAAAAATACTCAAACTCTACCAAAATCATCATTCTCAAGCCTCCGACTTGGTCTTGGATCGGACACCAGTTCCTGCCACGTTACACACGTGTGTTATGAATTAAATAAAACAACTCTCTCTTCTTATATAAATACTTGTGATACTATTATAAATACGTGCAAATTGGATAACATTCTTGTTCGGAACTTGCATCCATTAATTGCTCTTCAATCAACCATCCATACTTTTCTCCAACATACTTCTTGAATCACCAACGTTCCATCCAAAGTAAATGCTTCTTTTATTATTATGTTTAACACATTTTGCCAAAAAAAAATTCCTAAAACTCATTAAAATTCTGTTTAAAAATTTAATAAAATTTTAATTTTGTGCTATTAAATATCTGTGTTTTAATAACATACTTTTTCTCACCAAGATAAAAAGAAAAATTTGCAATAAAAAAATTGATAATATACATTTTATAATTATGACAAAAAATTTTAGGTCCTTTTTTATAATTTTTTGGGTCATTATCTATAATTTTTAAGTCCTTAAGCATAATTTTTTTGGTCCTTTTTGTAATTTTTACGATCATTTTTTGTTATTTTTAATTAACTAACAGTTAAATTTTACTTTTGTTAAAAATAGGAGCTGGATTGTACTGTTTTCAAAAGCTAAATAAAAAATTTATACAACAAATAAATTTAGTTGCTTGGTGTTACTCATAAAGTTTATAGGATAATTAATTTGCTTATTTACCTAAAAATCAATTCAAAAGAAATCTATTTCTATTTTTTTTGATACGAGAGTTTTTTTTTCAAAAATATTCCTAACTTGTTTTCAAAATGTAGAGGTTTTGTATTTTTTTAATTAAACATTATTATGAGATCTAAAGAGATTATGTAATTATTTATATACATAAATTATGTTACTTCCTACATATTAGTTCAAAAGAAATAAACCACACTTTTTTTAAATTTCTCAAACAAAATATATATTATATTGATATTAACTTGTAAATTCCAAAGAGAGGGATGAAAACAATGATGGTGTGGGATTTGAGTGCGCCAAAAACATATTATAATATTACCGTTTAAGATTTAGAAAAATCATAGAACCTTATTTTTGTCATCGATTTCATTCAGTTTCATAAACCGTGAGCAATATGTTTTTTTTCTCTCTCCTCTCATCATTAGTCACGGTAACAAAGACATGCTCGCGAAGAAGCCGAAGGAGGAGCCCTCTCTCTCTCTCTCTCTCTCTCTCTCTCTCTCTCTCTCTCCCCCCTCCCTTCCTTCATGGCAGCTTCTTCCTTCTTCTCTTCACTTTTCCTCCCCTAACCCTAATTTTCATCTCTTTCATAGCTCCAAAACTCCGCCAATTCTCGTTCTCCTCTCTCCTAGAGAAAATCGTTCACCGTACACAGCGACCGGAGAGATTTTCTTGAGACTTACTTCGCTACTGATTAATGGCTGGAGCAACGGGGCACTGTTGTCGGGGATTCCAGATCTGTGACCATGTTTGAGCCTGAGGTCCTGTAGCAGCAGAGGCTGAGCGTCAAAGGTGCGTGGTTACCAGTCCTCGATTTAGTATATCCGAAGCCGGCCTTTTGTTTCTTTATATATGTATACAAGAAACTGTGTATCTCACGAACTAGATAATCTAGATCCCATCAAAACATTTTTTTTTTATCTCGCTTTGGGATTCTGTGGCACAGTCTGTATCTGAACTTCCATTCCGTTTCACCCAAGTTGGTTGGTAGGAATAGTAGTTTTCTGGCCAACAAGATCGAAATGAAGTTAACATCTATTTCCCAAGAAAAAGACCCAGAAAGTTGGATGAGAGTACCATTTCAATTCCTTCAAAATCGCAATAATAAGCTTCGGTTTCTTCAACACAGAGAAGGCGAGAAGCGAAATACAAGTCCGATGGCACTAAACTTGGCGAGGTCTAAACGCAGATGAAACCAGCTGATCAGAAAGCAAAACATGAGTCCCGCCAGAGCAACGAAGCAGGTCCACCAGATGGATATATATTTTCAACGCAGAAACAAGGTATATATGTTAGAGTTCACCAAGCTCTTAATCAATCAAGTCAATATTGGTACCAGAAAACAAACGGATTAAACATTTTCATTATTCTTGTAATTATCATGTAATTTCTGTGAATTCCTCTTGTAGATCTACACAACCGTGTAATGTTAATTTTTTTTCCTTTCAGACACAAATTAAAGGCTCTGTATATAACAATTCTCCCCAATAAATCCGTCCAACTTATTAACAATGATCTCTCTGATTATTAGTTTATATACAACAATCACGAGTAAGGTAAGAATTAAGAACTATTCTTCCATCTTTTTCTTTGTTTTTTTTTCCTTTTTAATATAAGGTCATCACTGTATCCCACCATGAAGATGGATTATTGAGTTTGCTTGGCGAGCAAACTCACATATTCATCGGCTTAATTCTCTAACTTCTATCATTTTCATGGTGACAAGATGAAGGTAAATGAAAAATACTCTAATAAGGGAACAACTGCTCCTGGCCAAAAAGTAGAAGGTATACTTTCTTTGACCCAATATAGATTGTCACATATTCTTCGTTTTAGCATGATAAGAAGCTCGTACATTTATCTTGTTATCATCCTTCTTATGGGAAAATTCAAAACTACAAATGTAGAAATTACTCCACAAATTTCATAACTTATAACTCACTAGTGCAAATTTGACTTTTTATGGGGATACTTTTTATATAGGTTGTTTAGCAAATGATATAGAAAATCAAGATGGTAGCAATTTTATAATTATCAACTTGAATTGAAATTTACATTAGTTCTTAAAAAGTAATATTTTATACATCGGTTGCTTGATAAACTGATGTAAAAAGTGATTAAAAATTTAAAAATTTTAAGAATTTATTACTTTATACATGGGTTCCATAAGGAACCAACATAAAAAGTCTTTAAAAAGGTCCCTTGCATTCACTGATCTCCATCATCACTCTCATCAATGCCTCATCATCGTGGTTAACCCACGGTGCTCCTATTCACTGTGCCCAAAACTTGTTGGCCTTCGTTGATGCTCTTTCTTCATTATTTTGCTTGTATTCCTCCATTTTTGCCAAGAGAAGAGAGGTAATGTTCTATGGGTTAAATGCCCTATTTGATTTAGGAGTTTTAGAATGGTTGCTCTCTAATTTAGCATGCTATACGAATCCTTCATGTATATCCTTGATTTAATGAATATTCCGCTTTAGAATGGTTGTTCTCTGAATATATATATATATATATATATATGCATCATATGTCATCTCACTTGATTTGTTTTATTCCTATTTAGCGTTTGTGTTTCTTTCCTTTTTCCCAATGGCTTGTGCGTATATTCGCATTCAATTCAAGCTTTAACAACTACAGCTTTGATTAGATGTTTTGGGTGTTGGATCTATCGCCTTTGCATTCTTGCCAAAAGAATAAGAAAGGACTACTGGTTTTATTTTGTTGCATTATTGAGTATTTGGTTTGTATTTGATGGAATCTGTACAGCAATGGGAATTGTAAATTAGAGCTGCTTCACAGAGAAATAAAGGAAAAAAAACAAAGCTAAAGAAGAAGACTAGAACAAAGGACTTGGAATTAGGCATTTTGGTGATGTCCCTTTTGGAGAAGCCTGCACTTAGTGGTAGTGGTACATTTCTATTCTATCACTTAACAAGTATTCATTATTTTGTGTTTGTTTAAGAATATTGGCCTATTCAGATGTGCATATGCGAATGAAAAAGAGATACAACAGAAAAGCAAGGACTAGGAGTGTTGGGTAAATTTACTTGTATCACTTCAAGCTTACTAATATAGCCGTGGTTGATCTTTGAATCACTTTCTGATTTTTTTTTAATCATCTACTTCTATATATAGCTTTTACAGAACATGAACTAGCACTGGTACCTGATTAATTAAGAAAGATGAATATATATATATATATATACACACACACATATATGCTGTGACTTGTTAAGTGGGTCCAAAAGTAAGGAAATGTCTCAGTTTAGTTTTTTTTTTTTTTTGCTTTTTGATATTTCTGATGCTGTTTTAATTTCTAAAAAGGGCGAAATTTAATTTTGATCATTTCACGAATAATATAACATTCATGAACCCTCTCATACGTTTATTGGAATTGAGAAGTACAAATTGTTTACTTTTTTTATGCTTGCATACGACGGGTGAAGGTAATTTTTATAGTTTCTCTTTTTTAAAAAAAAATTCTACTCCTCTAAATCCTTTATATTAATATATTATAGCTGCAGTTATGGGAATCTTGAGCTCAATCATTTCGCATCAGTAAAGCTTTCCACTTGTCATTCTACTTCTTTGTTAGTCCATCTACTATTAATGAATAAGCCAAAAGCTTTCATTCTCCTTTTGGCCATTTCAGCTAATATATAGTATTTCAAAATTGCCTTTTCTTTTTATTCCATGTTTCTTTTTAAATGTCCGGATTCAAATTCATTTTTGAAGTGCCTAATAATATGAAGATGAAATTGTACTGGCTCTTAATAATAGAATGTTCATTTTCTGGAAGTCAGTTAATAATCTTATTGTTCTTTCATTATTGTACTCCAAATAGGAAAGACTGAGGATGAAATAGACAATCCAAGGAACGAAAATATTTATTGGTTTATTGTTCTTCCTTTTCATTATAAATTTATTGTATTCTAAATGTTGAAAATATCATTAAACTTGTCGAAATATTAGAATTTATTGTATTTATTATAAAATTTATTAAAATTTATGCAATGATAATAAAATAGGGTCTTTTTAATGATCATTTTGTTTGTTTCAAAAGATGATTTTGCACACCAGTTCTAGTTAGAACTGATGTTAAAAATAAACTTTTTATATTGGTTCTTATTACAAACGATGTAATTATGGCTTGTACATAAGATGATCATTTTGTTTCTTTTTATGCCTTGTACATAAGATGAGAAGGAATTAATTATAACATATTATAAAAATCCATATCAATCGGTCTAGTTGAACCAAAAAAAACAGTAAACCAATATCTTGATTGGTTTAATAAAATATTTTATGATTGATTTGATGACAATACAATTTTAACTATTAATATTCTAATTATTGTCTTATTGCTTTGGTTTTCAATGCTTTTAAGGGGAAGGAATGAATGAAATAATTTGTCATTATGCATTATTATAAAAAAAATAAAAAGAGCAAGATGCTAGGTATCGATGGAATTGAAGACTACATCCCACGGGAAAAACATATCACACATTTGGAAAGGACAATTAAAAAAAAACAAAAACAAAGCTCAAGCCTCAAGTTATCCAAGCCAGCACGCCAAGACAAACCAAAGCTGGGATTCAGAAATTTTTTTTTCCCCATTCTTTTTACAATCAAAAGCTCAAGCCTCAAGAAGTACTAAAAAAAAACAGAAGAAAAGAAAAGAAAAGAAAACCTCAAGCCCCAGGTATATTCTATAAAAGCCTCAAGAACTTGGCCACTGAAAATGATCTCTACCTCATACAGCTGATAAAGTAGCTTCCTTATCTGACTAAAAATTGGCATAAGCGGGTGACATGGTGCGCGGTCCTGCGTGATGAATTTAATCCCTTCAAGTGAATCTGTATGAACTTTAATCTTGCACAAATTTCGTTCCTTACAACTGAAGTCCAGCTTTGATACCTTCAAGTTCTCCTTCAGTAGAGAAACCATTTCCCAGCATCTGTTGGAAACCCAAGATCTAGTCTCCTCGGTGATCTCATGTCTCAATATTCCAGCACAAGTTTTATGACCCGAAGCATCCACCGATTCTATAAGTCCCTCGTAACTCGTGCATGTTAACATGTTAAGCATCGTCCTCAACCTTTGTTGGAGAATATATATATATATATATATATACATAAAAAATATCACAAGACCTACCATTCCTAATTATTGGAGAACAGCTGCAGCCGTTAATTACGGGACGTTGAGGTATGACAGTCGAAGGTGGCCCCCACCCTTTGTTGGTGCCTTCCGGCTGTCTGATTGCGCATTAGACAAATGTCTGATTCCGGCTGTCTTACATGAACATGATACACTAGATTTAAATTCGTATTTCCACTAAATTCATAACAGCTGCAATTATTGTATCGGAAAGAAAGAATTAGAGATGATACTGAGGACAATGAAGACGAATGTTTAACTAAGACATTTGGTCTCCCAATATTTAGTTTTAATATATAAAAGAATATGAATATGGATGTGAAACCAATATACCATCATATATTTTAATTTAGGAAAAAAAATTGTTTATAAAATATTTATCACCAATAAAAAATCTCTTTGAATTCTGAGTTGGTAGATTTCCGTTTCTATGTTTCAATATTTCGGCAGAAAAGTGCTTCCACCGAGGCATTCTTGCATGTAGCAGGCAGATGGAAGAAAGAGAGTTACATGAATTAGATAAAGCTCAGTCGAAACTGGAGGATGTAGCGCCAGAGGTCCAAGAACCCTTGCCTTGGAAGAAGTGAACCTTGGCACCCCTGAGGAGCCGAGGTTGTCTACTGCGGAAGCCAGCCCAGCACACACAAATAGATATTTAATTGCAGACTCTTTCAGCTTCTGTCAACTTCTCACGAAACCTCCACGAAATTCTATCTGCCCTAAAGAACATTTAGTCTCACGGTAAGCACGTGCAGAGCTTCTTCTTCTTCTTTCTCCATAGTAAGTGAGTTGATTAAAAAAAAAGCTTATTTAATTTGCCCCCATTAAGTGAGTTTAGGAGGTTTGTCTGCAGTTCTTTGACATACCGCACCCCCTCAACCAGGGTATAGGGGTAATTCAATGTGGATAAGAGGTGTGACCATGGAGAAAGAAACAAGCAATATATAGTTGAATGCTGAAAATAATCCTGCCACGTGGAGAAGAGAAAGCTGGAATTTTGTACCTCACTTGTCTGGAAGATATATATATATATATAGTATATTTTTTCAAACTATTTAAATTTAAATCTTATTCTTGTGTTTTAAATTAAAATATTATGAATTTAATCATTAAATACTTTTTATCTTTATTATATTATTTTTCAATAAAAATATTAAAAATGGGAAAATATATTTTCGGTGAGTAAAAAGTAAAAACTGTTCAAGTAAAAAATATTGAAAATTTAAAATTAAAACTGTCTTAGTGAGAAAAATCAACTTTTTTATGCTTTTCAGAATCTCAAATCAACATTGTTATGTCTCTGAGTATAAATTATTAAAATAATATATTTATATATACACATATTTTGATAGAAACAAATATTTAAATACTTTTTAAGCAAATATGGAAAATAAAATAAAAGCAAAAAGCTGCATAACAATAACTCAGCAAAAATGACAAAATGATCTGCTACTAAATTCCTTTTTGTTTTTTATATAGTGACTAACACATTTCTTCCACTCCTGCTATCTGATTAACGAGAGATTGCCTCATTCTATACCTTGTTATGTGAAAAAGCAATATGCAAAATCAAAATTAATTACCCCCGGGTGGGGGCGGGGGGAAGCTATTTCTTAGCGAAACATGTAGGATTAGGAACGGCAACTCAAACAAGGATGGTCAGTGAGTAGATTTGTGAAGATAATTAGAGGGAAGTGCGTGGATGAAAAGTGGCCGATATGTTGAAGTGATCGCCCGAGAGAATCATTGCTGGAAACTGGAAAGGAGGAAGCTTTGGGAGATTTAATTTGATGATACAAAGCCGTATTGCTTTTGAATTGTTCAAATACTCGAATCCATCTATGGCAAAATTGTAAAATCATGCACCAACCACCACTCTACTGAGTAGCACATCATCATCATCATAATGGCGCCATAGTATATAAGACAGGACTATGGTGATAGCAATTCATCTTTTGAATCATTAGTTACTAGTGAGAAATTATTTTTTATGATGCCCAAAATCTAATTTGGATAATTCCATGGTCGGATTAAAAATTACAAAATTGAAGTTAGAATGAACTAAGATTTGTAAATTGAAGTTAGAATAAAAGTTTGTAATTTCAACATTTTTGAAAAACAAGTGAAGAAAGGCAAGATGTATGTAAAAAAGAAAGGAAGGCAAGAAGAGTGTATAAAATATGGATTTAGATTTACAGGACAATGCGTGATCAATTGGGATTTAAAGCGCAAAAAGTGAGCGGCGTGCAAAAAGAAAAAGAAAAGGAAGAAGAGTAACGTACTACAATACAATACAATAAATAAATAAATACCACAAAGTACGTCCTTCTTTCCCGTTGATGGGGGGAGATCTCATGGGCGTTGTGTGTTCAAATTGTGGAACGGATTCGAGTGTGGGAGCATCTTTAATGGTTGCCATGGAACCTCGAACAATTACCAAACCTAACTGAAAGGGGTCCGCTCACACAGTTTTGTTTCTGCTTTTACGATTTCTGACCTTTTCAAACTGTGACACAAAGCTGTTATATATGATTATGGCATATATCATAGAAAGAAGGAGGGTGGTGAAAAACTGACACGTAGCGTCACAGTCGCAAGTAATCAATGAAGAAAATAGAAGGGAGATACTCATACCGGAAATGAGTTGTTTATACGTTGAGTGGCAATCATGAGTGCAATTCTACGGCAACATTCAACAATTTATACAATGGGCAATAATCAGAAATAGAATTGCAGAGGCCTGCCAGAAGAGAGAGAATTATCAGAGGAAAAGATTCTATTTGGCTTATACTAGACCTGTATCTTATGATAGCAGACGATATATAAACATTCTTTAAATTTAAAAGTAAGTTTGTCCAGGCCTTATTAAGCTTCCTGGACCAAATTCTTTTAAACTTATATACTCTGAATCATAATATACGACATTTTATAAAAATTTTATTTAATTCAAAATATAAAATAGTGAGTAATTTTTATAATTATTTTTTTAACTATAACCCTTTTTTTAAAAAAAATGATACATTAAAATTTTAATTATCATTATTAAAGCACTTATATAGAGTATTTAATAAAAGTAAAATTGAAAAGATGTAAAATTTTTTAAAAAATTAAAGTTTCAACTAACTTTTTTTTCATAAATTGTAAATTAATTACCAATGCCCTACATCTTGATTTGGACAAAATAAATAATTAAACCATACTCCTTCCATCCTAAAATATAAGGAATTTCCATGATATCTTTCAGTAATTACACACTTTTGCATTTATTATCTTGAAAAAGGAGAAAGAGATATTAATTGTATATTTTATCAATCACCATGATATTAATTATAACATTATTGGAGGCAAAATAGAAAAAAATATTGTAATTTTATATATTTTCAACTAGAAAACAAATTTTAATTGATATGTGAGATCCCTTTAAAATTATCTTATATGTTGTAGCGAGGAAGTAGATAACATATAAATAAAAATAAAGATGTGCTTTGTATATATACTTGTCAATGTCAGTATGTTTTATAACTTCACTTATATATCTATTTTTAATTAAATTTATTAAAATTTTCAGTTCTTTCCTTTTGCTTTCGTTTTTCCCTCCGGTGGATCAATGACCGGATGCATCATACCGTGCAAAGCTAGTTACTTAGAAACAAAAAGAAAGAATTTTTTTTAAAAAAAAAAAAAATACAAGGGCACGGATAACTAAGCAACAAGAAGAAATTACATCAAACTGACATATTCATCTGCTTCTCTTACTTCCATTATTTTCATGGCGACAATGAAATTACTCCAAACTAATTAAGTCTAAGGCAAGAAGTACACCAGACCAAAAACGTTGATTATACAATCAATATACGTCCCTTGAAATAACATCTCTTTGAGAACTGACGTAAAATAATTTTTTAATTGCTATTAAAAGTCTTTATTTTTTTGTAGCGACTGATTTCATGAATTAAATTACTCTTTTCTTTATAAATATAAATAGCCTATCTTCATACTCCTTGTTTTGATCACTTTATTTTTTTATTTCTTTTAATGCATTTAATTATTTTTATTTTTTTTCAACAACTCCGCCTATGTTTATAGCCGGTCTTAAGCCCGGGTAAAGGAGGAGGGTTGTGTTAGACTATCAACAATCAATGTAAAACTTTGTTGAATCTATCATGAACATGGATAATAGACGTTATAATGTTGATAGAGCACATTGACGTCTTGCAATCCATGTAGCCGACCCCACGTAGTGGGATAAAGGGTTGTTGTTGTTGTTGTTGTAATTATTTTTTTCAACAATGGCCTGTGTGCCAGTAGAAAGACAGGGAAAGCTAGAAAGAGTTTTTTTCAGTCAATCTTGAATGCTCAAGCGGTCGGATATAACATTAATATCATGTAGTGGTAAGAATGGTAATTCTCTGGCTCTTGATTGGGAACCACGTCGTTTATCACCTTTTCCTTTGTGAATTTCGTTGAGAAACTTCAAGAATCCACCCAAAAGTAACAAAATAATGAAGACGGACCGCCGTGTAAGCTGCAGAATCAGACATATCAAAAGGGCAACAGCCACAGAGCTAGATGCTGGCACGAGCACTCCAAACCGAGAAGCGAAACCACGAAACAAGAACTTCATTGCTACAATGAAGTAATATGCTACAGAGCATATGATAGAAGCCTCAAAGATTATGGGATGAAGTTTGAATGGTGAAAGACTGGTAGCTGAACTTTGTATTTGAAGGAAGCTGAGTAGAACTGGAATCAAGGGAGCGTAGATCAAGTTGGAGGGAAAGGCTTCATGAGAGAAATTGAAGTTATTGGTGTCCAAGAACATAATAGAATCTTGTCTTCTTGAGCAGAAGTTGTGGCTATTGCTGTGGTGGTTATATGTTGTCTCTCTTTGCTGAAAATAACAGAAGATGAAGCGATCATATGATTATCCATCGTGCAGGCATAAGCCTTACTGAATATATTTCTCCATATATTGTACGGACAAAATTAAATATATGAAAAGAGGTATAGGAGAAGAGTATGTAAAGAGTCCAAATGAAAGATGAAGTCATATGTATGATTAAATATGCACTGTGCAGGCACAAGCTTTTCTCAATATATTTCTCCACATGTTGTACGGATGAAATTGAGGCAAAATTCATCCGCAAGTCATTCTAATTTTTTTATTGAATTTCAATTAGGTCCTTGTATTTTATTTTGTTTTAATCAAGTACTTATAATTTGATTAATTAAATATATTAATCCTTGAAGATTAAAAAATATATCTACATATATAATCCTTTAATTATTGAGAATCTATTTTATTTGTATAATTTTTAGGGAAAATTATTTTAAAAAAAGACCAAGGTTGTTCAAAGGAATTAAAATTCTTGGTCCGTCAAGTCATTTCTCATTTAACCTTAATGTCTGAATTAATATTAAAATTGTTCAAGGAGAATCCCATTATATTTGTGACAGTGGAACAAATTAAATACCGATAAATAACTATGAAAGCAAATTTAAGCTCTTAGCTGTGCATACGAAAAGGGAATCTACTAACTAAACTAGACGTTTCTTCAGCATGTAAACTCACCAACAGCAGACTCTGACTATTGTTTGCTTCCATACTGTACAGATCGTTCTCGTTCTCACCCTCCGATGATGGTGGCATCGATGGCGGCAACAACCATGTGCAGAGTTTCCTCAGCCATAATGCCACGACTCAGTTGAAGATGATCGTCACAAAAAACGTTAGAGCTTCAGCCGCTCGATACATCATCTCTGCCAATCAAATACAGAAATGGATTCAGCAAGAAGAGAGAGAGAGAGAGAGAGATTTTATATTGAACGTCTGTGCAGAGCGGTTTATTAAAAAGCATGAGTGAAAAATTTGACAATCAGCCTTGTAATAGTAAAACAGTCATAATGAATAATGAGTTTTTTTTTTTTTTTTGTAACTCTATCAACATGTTGCAGCCTTTCATGTAGTTCGCTCTTGTTTTTTTTTTTTTTTTTTTGAAGAGGTCAATTTCTTTTTTTTTTTAATAATCAATAACTAAAGTTTGTCACCTGAATATGTCAGGACCTGCCTACACACCGCCCCCCCCCCCCTCACAACCAAAAAGCAATTATATAAAGCTTCACTGCGGATCTGCTTGCGCCCCCCCCCCCCCCAAACACCCACACACACACACTCTCTTTCTGCTTGCAACTTTTATTTCTTTAATTATTAAATATATAACAATCTAAAAATTTTAAACTAGCACGTCTGAAAATTAACTTGGAAATTTAAAATTAATATTCATCCAATCTATATTCTTGTTATTATTCTTTACCTTTTATTGTTTAAAATAGTTTGCAAGTATTTAAAAATATATTAATTTAATTAGGACTGTGTTGGCCACTTTCAAAAAATTGAATCTTGAATCATCCAATGCGTGACTATAGTTCAATTGGCAATCTGCCCTTTCCTAACCTAATTAATTGTAATTAAATTTAAAAAATATGTCTTACTTTTTTTCATTTTATTTATAAATCATTTTAAATATATTTTATTGAAATTTAAAAAATATTAAAAATTATAAAAAATATAATAAATTTTAATTTTATTCATATTAAATATGTATACTTTGATTACATAATTTCCACAGACATTTATTAGAGGTATAAGGAAAATTTTGTAATAAAAAGTCAACAACTTACTTTATAATGAGAGAATTTGTTTTTATGGCTTGTATATAAGATGAGAAGGAATAATTATAGCATATTATGAAAATCCATATCAATCGGTCTAGTTGAACCCAAAAAAAATGGTTAAACCAATATCTTGATTGGTTTAATAAAATATTTTATGATTGATTTGATCACAATACAATGTTAACTATTAATATTCTAATTAGTGTTTTGATTGGTTTGGCGTTCAATGCTTTTAAAAGGAAGGAATGAATGAAATAATTTACCATTATGAATTATTATAAATAAAATAAAAGAACAAGATGCTGGGTATCGATGGAATTGAAGACCACATCCCACAGGAAAAAGAAGTCACACATTAGGAAAGGTCAAGCCTCAAGGTATCCACGCCAGGGCGCTAGGACAATCAAAAGTTGGGATTCAGAAGGTTTTTTTTTTTTTTTTAACATTCTTTTTACAATCAAAGCTCAAGCCTCAAGAAGTATTAAAAAAGAAAGAAAAGAAAAGAAAACCTCAAGCCCCAGGTATATTCTATAAAAGCCTCAAGAACTTGGCCACTGAAAATGATCTCTACCTCATACGGCTGATAAGTAGCTTCCTTATCTGACTAACAATTGGCATTAGCGGGTGACACGGTGTGCGGTCCTGCATGATGAATTTAATCCCTTCAAGTGAATCTGTATGAACTTTAATCTTGCACAAATTTCGTTTCTTACATAACTGTAAGTCCAGCTTTGATACCTTCAAGTTCTGCTTCAGTAGAGAAACCATTTCCCAGCATCTGTTGGAAACCCAAGATCTAGTCTCCTCGGTGATCTCATGTCTCAATATTCCAGCACAAGTTTTATGACCCGAAGCATCCACCGATTCTATAAGTCCCTCGTAACTCGTGCATGTTAAAACATGTTAAGCATCGTCCTCAACCTTTGTTGGAGAATATATGTATATGTATAACATAAAAATTATCACACAAATCATACCATTCCTAATTATTGGATAAAAGCTGTAGCCGTTAATTACGGGACGTTGAGGTATGACAATCGAAGGTGGCCCCCACCCTTTGTTGGTGCCTTCCGGCTGTCTGATTGCGCAATAGACAAATGGATCTTTCTTTCCCAATTCCTATTTCCACTAAATTCATAACAACAGCCATTATTGTATTATAAAGAAAGAATTAGAGATGACCCTGTGGACAATGAAGATGAATATTTAACTAGGCTATTTGGTCTCCCAATATTTAGTTTAATGTATATAAAAGAATATGAATATGGATGTGAATCCAATATATCCAACATAGTTATGATGATATCATGATAGATTTTAATTTTAAAAACAATTTTTTTTATAAAATATTTATGACCAATAAAAAAAAAAACTCTCTGAATTCTGAGTTGATAGAGAAGAGAAAGTTGGAATTTTGCACCTCACTTGTCTGGAAGATATATATTAATTGTAATATCTTGAAAAAGGAGAAAAAAATATTAATTGTATATTTTATCAATCATCATAATATTAATTATAACATTATTGGAGGCAAAACTGAAAAAATTATTATAATTTTAAATATTGTCAACTAAAACAAATTTTAATTGATATGTAAGATTCCTTTAAAATTATATATGTTGCAGCGAGGAAGTAAATAACATATAAATAAAAATAGAAATGTGCTTTTTTATATACTTATCAATATCAGTATGTTTTATAACTTTACTGATATATCTATTTTTTAATTAAATTTATTAAAATTTTCCGTTCTCTCCTTTTGCTTTCGTTTTTCCCTCCGGCGGATCAATGACCAGATGCATCATACCGTGCAAAACTAGTTTCTTAGAAACAAAAGGAAAGAAATTCTTTCTTAGAATACAGGGCTACGAATAACTATGCAACAAGAAGAAATTATATTAAATCAAGACTAATATGGAATTGACACCTTGAGGGTGGATCATCAAAAATTAAAGTATCAAAATTATCATTCGAAGCTTGATGAGCAAGCCAATCCACAATTGTTGGATTCTCTAAATTACATGGTTAAAGTTAATAACCTAGTCCTTCATGGTGAGGCATTTGGTCTTTTTCATAGTTTCGTTGAGAGGATAATTCGCGTTTTATGATAATGTTGAATAAGCGTTAGAGCTTCAAGAGAGTTAGACTAAACATTAACGTTAGAGAATTTGTTCCTCTAACAAAGTTCGAGACCTTTAAGGAAATCCAAGAGCTCAGCAATAGTGCTAGGTTGATAATCAAGATATTTGGTAAAACCTTTTATCCAGTTACCTTGGCTATCACAAATGAGATCTCCACATGCTGCAACTCCATTGGTGTAGACAACTTCGTCAGTGTCCAACCTAACCTAGCCAGGTTTGGGTAGAATTTATCTAGCAAGAGATCTATCATGTTCTAAATGCATATTCTTGCATTTAATTGGAGATAAAGGTAATTGATGATGTCTTGGGTACTAGCAAAAATGATGTCTTTGTCAGGAATATGATCTTTCAAATATATATATAATTGCAGCGCTCTTTTTAAATGTTCCAACATATGCGGGCATAGAGAAAAGAAAGTGTTAAGTTTGGAGTACTTCACTAGTTTCATCCATACTTCCCTTGACCTAGTGCAATCACCCAAATCTGACTTTGCCCTACATCATCCTCTTTGACAAATCATGCTTCTTCCAAATATATGCAAATACATACATACATATCTATGCGTGTGTGTCTATATATATATATATATGCCAATCCAAAAATAGCAACATAGTAGGAATTGATTTTAGCAAAAAAAAATATATTAGGAATTGATATATATTGGGATGGCTTCATTATAGAAACATATATCTTGCTTACTTAAAATTGATATATGTTGTTTTTTTTAAATAACATGTATATCTAAAAATTTAGAGTTAAAGTATTATATATTTAAAAAAAATTGAACCCAAACAAATATTTTTTGATTAAATCTAGGGATTCAAAATTTCAAAAATATATATGCACATAAAGTTGCAAAATTTACAAACTACATATGCAATTTTTTTGATGTCACACATGGCTCTACCAGTGCCTCTAATATCTTTGCATTCTTTGTAATGTCTCTGTTTATTCATTTGCTTTTGCATCTTTCTTTTAATTATTAGTTTCTAGATAAAATTACAGACACTCATGACTAATGGCGACCCCACGTTGAAGCCGGGGGTAAATGCACCCCCTCAGTTGGGTGTAATTCCGTGCGAAATGAGATGTCAATGCTTTGCACCATTTAATTACAAAATCTTGAACACAATGTGATGAGGGAGGGAGAGAAATTAGGAGACTTGAATTAATGTTGAAAATCTTGTCAAGTAGGGAAAAATTAGAAACCCATAAAAGTCTTGTGCACCATTAATTAATGCTTTTGCTTTCTATTCATTGTATAAACTAACTCTTTATTTTATACTGAAAATGGAAATATTTCATTTTACAAGTAGATTGTGTAAGATTTAGGGAAAATGATAGTTAAGGACCCCCTAAGTTCCTTAATTACAATTAGGGACCCTAAATTATTGAAATCTCAATAATGGACCATGGTTCTTACTTGTAATTAAAACATACATGAGTTTACAAAATTGCCCACTACTTGAAAAATAAATAAATGGCAGTGCTGAATTTACTATTATGAGATGGAAATGTTATTAATCCTAATTGGGAAACTAAAGAACAATAGTTAGAAATGAATTGTTTCCCAATATAAAACTAAAATTCACTTTTGAAATTATTTAAGGGTACTTGTAAATATACAATAGTTACTTTTAAATAAGAACCCAATCACTTGTGAACATATAGGTATATCACTTGAAAAATAAAGAAATGATACTGCTGAAATTACTATTATATGATGAGAATATTGTTAATCTTAGTTAAGAAATCAAGGAACAATAGTTGAAAATGGATTGTTTTCCAATATCAAACTAAAATTCACTTTAAAACTTTTAAATGGTATTTTTGAATATACAATAGTCATTTAAAATGTACTAAAGTACTTTTGAGGAGCATTTTAAACTATTCACATTTTTTTAATTCATTATTGAGATTTCAATAATTTAGAATCTCTAATTGTAATTAATGACCTTAGAAGATCCCTAATTGTCATTTTTCTTAAGATTTATTCCTTTAGTCTCCTCTATTCTTGATATTTTATACACCTTACACTTATTATTTGGAGTGACCTACTCTTTATTTATATCTAAATATATTTAATGTAAATAGTTTTTTAGATATTAATTGTAAGCTTTAAGCATAAATTGTAACTCATTAATATTGAATATGTCATTTTTTTTTTCATTTTCATATATCAAAGCCAAATTTTTCACAACAGTTTTTTAAAAATTATTTTTTTATATTCAGTGTTTTTGAAACATGAAATCATAATTATAATATATGAATTTAAAATTTTAAAAATTTCTCTTTGTGCCACAGGCTACGGCTTAAGCACCATGCGTCGCGGCACTTTGCACAAAAATATCAACAATTTTGCTATCATTTGATAGCAAAATTAGGAAACTTCTGACATGTTTCAATTCTCTATCCAACGTCCGAATGACGTGATCTAGGTGTCTACAGAAAGCTCTTAACATCAACTAGCTAGTGGCATAGGTTTCACTTCTAAAATAAGTCACACCATGAAATTGGACACCCAGATACATTTTAATCACTTTACATAACTTTCACATAGAAAGGGTGTCCAAACCCTCAACAAGTACCATCAGCCTTTCATAACACCTAAATCATGTCCATTGGACCTAAGACTATCAGTACAACACATCTCACGTACTAAAACAACAGCATAACATAAATTCACTTTTTGACCCCTTTTTACTAAAAAATAAAAGGGGAGGTAAATTTTTATTGCATTGGATCAAAAATCATTATATCATGTTTAAACATCATTTCTACACTTGTATTAGTATTTTTACCCTATCAACAATTCTATATCACCTTACACAAAAACTTAAGACCCAAAATACAACTCAAACATTTGTAACAACAAAATAGTGCAAGTGTGATAACATGACCTAGAATTGGTAATCATATATTATTACACAAAATAAATCTAAACTAGAGGTATATAATAGAAATGTGCTAATTCCTAGCCTCTTGACCTTCTCCCTCTCTATACTAGAGCTCAAGCCTAAAAGGTGTTAAATGAAAGGGGTGAGTCTAGCCACTCAGTAATCAAGATAAAGCCTACCTTATGCAGTTATACATCAATTGTAAATCAAAACACACACATATGAAACCAAGTATTTAAAACGGGCTTTAACACATACCAACACTTACCAATCTAATTAACAAGTTTTCATCTCACACATGTTAGGCACATAATCACAAGACACTCACGCATGTGATCATGACTCGCTACAACCCGCGATTTGTTGCAACTCAAAAACATATGACACTTCATATATTTATATAGGCAATGATCAACTAACCTTAGACTCTCCTTATTTTCTCATACTAAAACCATGGACTATAACTCTAAATAGGGCTCCGTCTATGTAACTGGACTACTTAAGCTAACCAATAGTGAGGTGTGATTTGGCCAAAGATCATAT